GAGGTCTCGCCAAGTTGTCCAGGCGGGTCTCGAACCCGCGGGCTCAGGCAATCCATTCACCTCAGCCTCCCAAAGGACGGGATTACAGGCTGAGCCACCGAGCCTGGCTGCAAGTCATTGAATTTCTTGTGGGGGATCTTTTCTTCATTTAACCTATTAATTATATAGCTCTATTATGATCAAAAAATGAAATGTCTTAATATAAAATAATGTTGCAATTAGTGAAATATTTACATAAATTATGCTTAGTAGTACAGCATATAAAAATGTCATTTACTATTAACTCATAAATTGAACAGTAGTCTATAAGCAGAACAGGATTCTACATTGTTGTGCTATTTAATTCAGAGATCAGATTCCCTAAGCAATTAATATTCCATTGCTGCCAAGCTAGAAATGCTACAGTTATCATAGTTTAACACCAGTTTCAAAAAACAACATGTGAGCTGGGCTCGGTGGCTCAGCCTGTAATCCCACGCCTTTGGGAGGTTGAGGCGAGTGGATTGCCTGAGCCTGCGGGTCCGAGACCCACCTGGGCAGGCGAGACCTCATCTCTACAATAAATCAAAAATTAGCCGGGCGTGGTAGCAAATGCCTGTAATTCCAGCTTCTTGGAAGGCTGAGGCAGAAGGATCGCCGGAGTCCATTGGGTCGAGGCTGTGGTGGCCGGGAGAGTGCCACTGCACTCCAGTCTGGGTGACAGAGTGAGACTCCAACTCAAATAAATAAATAAATAAATAACAATAAAATAAAATAAAATAGATGAGAGCAAAACTAACTTTGAAGAGGCTATTCTTTTTTTTTTGAGTTGGAGTCTCACTCTGTCGCCCAGACCAGCCTCGACCTTCTGGGCTCTGGCTATCCTTCCGCCTTAGGCTATTCTAGGCTTAGCAAATATTTAGAGTTTGACAAAACCAAAACATGTAATTTACGAAGATAATTTTCCACTTCAACTGTGCCTAAGTACCTTATGAAGAAAATCACTCTTTATTTTTGAGTAATTTTAAATTAAACTATTTTAAAGGCTCTTGAAGTCCAAATAATGCTAAAAAAGCAAGCAGATTTTCTGAAATTTAACAAGCCATGTCATGCTAAGTTTCAGACTCAAAGTTTGGGTTTGAGTCCATACACTCAGAACAATGGTTCTAACTCTACAACACTGGTCTCAAACTGCTGGACTCAGGCAATCCTCTTGCCTCCACCTCCCAAAGTGCTGGGATTATAGGCGTGAGCCACCACACCTAGTTTTGGCCAGAATTTTTTTTTTTTGAGTTGGAGTCTCACTTGGTCGCCCATACTGGAGTGCACTGGCCGCTCCCGGCCACCACAGCCTTGACCTGGTGGGCTCCAGTGATCCTTCCGCTCCAGCCTTCCGAGTAGCCGGAATTACAGGCATGCGCTACCACACCCAGCTGACTTTTTGATTTATTGTAGAGATGAGGTCTCGCTGCCCAGGCGAGTCTCGAACCCGCGGACTCAGGTAATCCGCTCACCTCAGCCTCCCAAAGGCGCGGGATTACAGGCTGAGCCACTGAGCCCGGCTTGGCCAGAATTTCCATTTTAATTGTGACATATATTATGCTTAAAATTTATTTATTTATTTATTTTTTGAGTTGGAGTCTCACACTCTGTCGCCCAGACTAGACTGCAGTGTCTCGCTCCCAGTCACCACAGCCTCAGCCTGCTGGGCTCCAGCGATCCTTCCACCCAGCCTTCCAAGTAGCCGGAACTACAGGCGCATGCTACCACGCCCAGCTAATTTTTTATTTCTTTTCTTTTCTTTTTTTTTTTTTTTTAGTTGGAGTCTCACTCTGTCACCCAGACAGGAGTGCAGTGGCCGCTCCTGGCCACCACAGCCTCTACCTGCTGGGCTCTGGCGATCCTTCCACCTCAGCCTTCCAAATAGCCGGAATTACAGGCGCGCGCTACCACGCCTGGCTAATTTTTGATTTATTGTAGAGATGAGGTCTCGCCAAGTTGCCCAGGCGGGTCTCGAACCCACGGGCTTAGGCAATCCACTCATCTCAGCCTCCCAAAGCACGGGATTACAGGCTGAGCCACCGAGCCTGGCTAATTTTTGATTTCTTGTAGAGATCAGGTCTCACCAAGTTGCCCGGGCGGGTCTCGAACCCGCAGGCTCAGGCAGTCCACTCACCTCAGCCTCCCAAAGTGCTGGGATTACAGGCTGAGAGCCACCGAGCCTGGTCAAATTTATTTATTTTTTAAACATAGTAATGGAACACAGTGTTTTTACTAAAAACCTTTTAGTCTTTCTCCTTGTTTATTTTCAAGCTAGAAGGGAAAATCAGATGGAGAACAATTGTAATGAACTGTCAAATACCCCAGATTTGGGGGGGCAATTCTACACTGAATCCCAAAATATGTAGCTTCTTCCACCCTAATGGAACAGAGAAATATGCTGAAACCTTTTTTTTTTTTTTTTTTTTTCAGAAAAGGAACATTTGACAATTTTAAAAAACAAAACATTCATTTTGGAGAGTTTTCCTAATTAAGCATGGCCATCTTGTTTTAATAATATATAATTCAGTCAGAGACAAAGAATGAAGACACTATAACCATCTCTCGTTTTCAATGAGAAGCTGGGGCACTAGTGGCTTGAGGTGGGGAAGAAATGATAAATCTTAAAAACTCAAATGACAAGTTCCTCCTGGCTGGAGTGCAAGACAAGGGAAACCACACAACCCCAGATGGTACCATCTCTAAAGACAGTGTACAAGTGCCTACTTCACAAGTGCAGACAGACAACTTGAACATGGCTCTCGCCCTTACAAGGAGCCCCTGGGTGTGAAAAGGAAAGGGAAAAACTACTTGGGCATAACATGCTGCTACATTTAGACCCAAGGAAAGGCCGTCAAGATGAATTTCTGAGCAGTTCTCCATGGTCACCTTCCTGAGGCTACATTTCAACTGTCTGTACCCTCCACACCCTCTCTCCACAGTTCAGAGGCAAGCAGCATCAGCCAGCCACATCCAAGAACTCCTCGTGTCTCAGCCAAGCACTTTGGAGCCCAAAAAGTCCCTTGCTTGCCAGGGTTTAACCGTGTCCGGAAGGCTCTGGAAGAGTTCTGCAGCAGGACTGCGGCTGTTGATAAGGGGTCTCTGCTGGACTGGAGACCAGGAGCTATGAGAAACCCGGAAACAAAGAGGCTCAGCTGGGAAGCGCCGCAAAGGTACCTGCCTCCCCAGGCCTGGGTATCGACTAGCAAGAGAAGTGGGAGCCCTCTCTCTCCTCGCCACCAAATCCCTCAGCTGGGGAAAAATCACCTCCCACAAAACCCCACACCAAGTAAATTGTATTCGCTACCTCACCCTCAAGTGACAAGGAGTCAGTAATTGACTCATGAGGGAATGCAATGATGCAAGTAGAAAACAACTCTCCTGACATTCATTCATTCATTCGAGTTGGAGTCTCAACTCTGTCGCTCAGACCGGGGTGCAGTGGCCGCTCCCGGCCACCGCAGCCTCGGCCTGCTGGGCTCCGGCGATCCTTCGGCCTCAGCCTTCCGAGTAGCTGAACTACAGGCGCTCGCTTCCATGCCCGGCTCATTTTTTGATCTCTTGGAGAGATGAGGTCTCGCCAAGTTGCCCAGGCGGATCTCGAACCCGCGGGCTCAGGCAATCCACTCACCTCAGCCTCCCAAAGGCGCGGGATTACAGGCTGAGCCACCGAGCCCGGCTTACTCCTGACATAAGGACATGGTCTACCTTGCATGACCCAGGAGAAAATAGACAACTTGGGAGTTTGCGAAATTAGGAAATCAAAGTCCCTCCCTGCCACACCCATCGCTCCCAGCCCATTCTACCTAAAAATCCCTCGCCCGGTGGGTTGTTTTGTTTTTTTTTTTTAATTTTAAAAACCTTATTTTAAATTAGGTCGCAACGAAAGAAGCCGGCATTTCTTATTCTTTTCAGAATGGTCAGAGATATGCTACATCCGTGCATTTGAAAAGAAAGAAAACAGAAAAGCCAGCTCGTTTTTCATTTCGTGCTTGAATCAATACCCGAAACAACGACCAGAGGAGGCCAGAGTCCCCCGGGCGTCGGAGAGCAGGGTGCTGGGCCGGGCGTCCGGCTTCATCCTCGCCTCGCCGCCGTCCTCCGCGGGTCCGGCCGCAGCGCAGGCCACTAGAGCAGGTAGATGATGCAGGACAGGATGACCAGGCCGATGATGGCAAAGAACATCAGGATGAAGATGTCCAGCATCGCGGGATCCTGGGCCGACGCGGCCCTGGGTCCCAGGCCGGTGTGTGCCGCGGCCACGGA